TGGCCACGGTACCTCTCACTCCTCTGGCTAATGCCATCAGAGGCCTCCTCACTGTCAAATCCAGCGCATTCCTTTCCATCTCTACCTGTCTTTCGGGGGAGGCGCTTGACACAGTGATAATTCCTTCAAACTCACTTCCTTTCTTCCTCATTGAGTATTCCCAGGGCTCTCTCTTCCTGTCAGTTTCCTTCTCAGACAATGCTTCCATTGCAGTTTAATTCCTGGTGTTGCCTGGGGTTCTACTTTCAGCTCTATCCCTGGGTATCCTCTAGTTATGATCTATAAGCTTGCATTTAAGTACAGATATACCCTACAGCCCATTGGACATCTCAGCCCATTGGACACCCCCTGATCATAACTATTGACTTGCCTGTGCCCAGCCAGTGCCATGTATCTCTTGTATTCTACAGTACGAATGAATACTTTTCCAAGAGGAACTTGTCCTTTGGCTACTCTACTTGAACAAGATCTTGATAATCTTGAGATTTTTTTTTAAAAAAAAATTTTAATGAGCTAATTAAATAAAGCTCAGTCATTTAAGAATTATAAAACAGAGGACAGTTTAGAAAATGTGACGTTGGTGATGGACGTGGAGGAAGGAAGAAGAAACCGGGTAAGCCAAAGAAGAGAACAGAATAGTCATATGCAATAAAGCAGTGATGTCAAGTAAGACAAGGAAGCAGAGAGGGTAACCCATGTCAACAAGATCATGCAAAGGCCTTTGTCCTTCTTTACTGATACTCAAGCTGAGCCAACGTGGCATTTCCATAGGAAGCTGGCATTTGATCTTTGAGAGAAAGCAATGGTCTTTGAGAGAACTATCATGTTTCTTTCCAGCTCAAAACACCAACCCTTTCACATTTTAAAATTTCAAAAATGATATGCTTAATGTAACACACCTTATAACCAGTTCCCAGTTGTCTTTACTTTTACTGTTACTACTGCAAAGCACCCCTCAAAGCTCCTAGTAAGGGAAGAGAGGAAAAAAAAATACACAAAGAATATGAGGCTGGAGGTAGAGCCCTCCTACTTTTTTTTCTGTATGTCTGAGGTGGCAAAAGTAGAAATGTGAACTTCTAGTGATTGAGCTGAGAAATACACAGGCTGGGCGTATAGGTGTGACACAAAGGTGCTAGTATCTGAGTGTCCTTTTGGCTTGCCCACTTAGATGTGGTAACTCAGGGATTTTACATTGACTTCTGCAGAACTGATAAGGTGCTTTAGAACAAGCACCTGGAGGCTTATCTCACTGTCTCTTGGGCTTCTGCCTCCCCAGCTGTCAGAAGGTTGATGTGCCCTGGCCTCGGAGGTTGTGCATTCCACAAGACGGTCTCTACAAGATACATGTGTTCTCATAAAACAACTTTTTACCAAAGAAGAAATACAGGCTTGTTCTGTGTTGTTAAAAAGCCGTAACAAAACGGCACTCTGAGTTCATTTCTCATATATCTTGCCTACGGTGAAAGGACATGATGTCTAGCCCTAGATACTCAAGTACAAAGGCTGACCCCTCCTTGTCTCTGCATGCAGTGTGAGAGAATCACCGGTGCCACAGGAATACAAAGGAGATGACTAACCCAGCCTGAAAATGAGACTGTTAACTCCTTAAGTGTGTGTCCTTTTCAGTCACATAGGGCCTGGTATACAGGAGGCCCTTAGCAATGCGTTGAAAGAATGAATAGTCTATTACCTTTATGTCAATAAGTCCTGGGTCTCCAACACTCTGCAATAATCCATGGACACTTATGTAGCCTCCAAGTCAGGATTCTGAATCTTTTACTTTTTGGTCTTGACTTATTATCTTGTGCAGAATCCTGTGCCCAGGGGAACTGTGGTCATCTGCAAGCTCAGCAAGTTGCTGTTTCCTAGGCTGCTTCTCTAGACCTTTCCTGACCAGAGTCCTGACTCCCTCATCCTACTCTGAGTATGGGGATTCTGCCTACTTATAGGTAGAGTGCTCCTTACCCTGCCCCAACATTGAGCCCTGTGTGGATTTGACCCTGCAAGCCCTGTCCAAGTCATTAGATTTTATGCCAACCATTTCTGGGATGATGTGGGGATGAAGAAGACAAAGAGGAAGGTCAAACTGGTATTTCCAATGCCAAACATGAATTCTTTTTTGAGATATGGAGGCTAAAGGCTCTAATCTAAGGCACCCACTGCTGGTATCACCTGACACCAACATCCCCAATAGTTTTGTCTGGCCACCACTGGTTTAGCAAATACTTAGGTTGATCACTTTCCCTGTTTTCTGGAGAACTATGTTCTCAGCATGAGGCACCTATGCTAAACCTCATTCTTAATTAATAGGGAGTGACCTTTTTGTTTAAAGAGGCATTTAAGGCTGGGTGTGGTGGTGCATGCCTGTAATCCCAGCACATGGGGAGGCAGAGGCAGGATTGCTGCGATTTTGAGGCCAGCCTGGGCTACAAAGTGATTTCAAGGCCAGCTTAAACTGCATAGTGAAACCCTGTCTCAAAAAAAAAAAAAAAAAAAAAAAGGGCATTTAAGGTGTAAAGTTGGAATGGTAGTTCTATTTCTTTCTGGAGATTTGCCTTTTATGTTTCAAACAGGAGTTAATTTTACCTTGTTAAATTCTCTACTTTTTTCAAAAAGCATATGTTTCTTTTTCTGACTGTAAAATGATAGAGTCTTGTAAAAATTCAAACATGTATAAGAAAAAATAATACAAGGAAGAGAACAAAAGCCAGCCAGACACCTAAAGACAAGCACAATATTGAAAGCATGGGTTTTTATGCAGGGCGAGGGGAATACCAGGAATCTAACTCAGAACCTCATGCTTGCCAAGCAGGTGCTATGCCACTGAGCTAAATCCCTGGCCGAGAGCATGGGTTTTGGGGATGCATGAGGGCTGGAAACACATCATTACTTACTACCTAAATGGTCTGGGGCAAATTATTTTACTTCTCTCTGCTCCAATTTCTTTATTTTAAAATAGTGATGATGATGAAAAAATAGAGATGATGACTAAGACTATATGACATCTACAAAATAGTAGGTCATAGTATTTACTTATAGATGCTTCATTGAGACTATTTAAGTAAAATATCTGACAATGCATCTGTATCTTAATGAATGATAAATAATAGTGAGTATATTGCAAGTCTCCTTGTTTTCCTCTTAAATCTCACTGCCTTTAGTGAAATTAAACTTGTTGATAGTAACCATTTATTGAGAATTTATTAAATGCTGATGTCATATTATAAAGAGAGTAATTCTAAAATATTATTTAGCTACTTGTTTAAGCAAACCTTCTCCTGGAACATATATAGAATTGTTTCCTACTCCTATTTCTCACTAACTATATAAATTTTATGCTAAATTTGGGCCATCTCTTTTTTTTGGTGAGGGATAATAGAATTTAACAGGGTTGTTTGAGGGTTAAATGAGTCACTCATTTAGGTACCCACTCATTTAGAAGCAAGGTACCCATAGTGTGGTAGGTGCTCAATAAATAATAGCTGTCATTACCTAAGGAATGCAGACAAACTAAAAGATGCTCTTCATCTATGATTTATGAGAGTGAATGTACCAAGGGGTAGTCTTTTCTGTTTTACTTTTAACCTAAAATGAGGCTTTTCAGTAATTCTTTAGATAAGGCACTAATCTCCTGGGCACAGTCCTGGGTTTATTTACTGGCATTTTACCTTTGGTTTCCTCCTAAACAACACTATTCATTTGCAGGGTTGTTATGAGGGTTAAATGAAATATCACTCTCAAAGCACCTGCTACACTGTGCCTCTTATATAATGTAACTGCTCGCTGTTATTAATTTTATTGTGGGTGGGTACAGTGTGAAGGCTTTATGTAGATTATTTCAATTATAACTCTGACCAAATTGAATCATTTGACCTGTCATCTGCTCTTTCTCCCAGTCTTTCATATCTCAGTCGTGGGCACCATCATTTACCACCACTATGCTTCTCTTAACTACCTCCATGAGAATATAAGCTTTGTATAACTGATCACACCTGCATTTCCGGTGCCCCAGCACCCAGAACAATGCCTGGCCCCTGGCAGGCTTTTAATAACTTTCTCAATATTGCAAAACTTTGAAGCAGGTGCTTCCCATTGTATAGATGAGGACCTAGGGTCACACCTTGGCAAAAAGAGGATTCAAATCCAGGCAGTCTACCGCCACAGCATACTTGCTTGTACATTATGTTGTGGTATTGAACTATAGTGGCTTCGACTGAAGGTAATTATTAAGGATTTTTTTGTTTGTTTTGCTTTATATTTTGGTGATGTTAGAAGAGTTAGGTTGAAATTCCCCACTATAAAAATTTTCCTTGAAGCTTTCCTAAGAGTGAAGTTCACGTGTCTCTTCACACAGCCTCATAGGACAGCACAATTTGGTTTCTTCCAGGTCTCTTTTCCTACTTGGTCTCTTTTCTCAACAGTTCAGCAGCTATAATGAACTTTCTCTTCTTGGCTAATACTCCTATCTCTATCTCAAGCACTCCCTGAGAGAAATTTATCATTTCTGAGGGATTATAACAGCCAGTGCTTTATTCCAGTCTCAAATTACTTGTTTGTCCACTGTTGTGCCCTTACTGCCTAAGAAGTGCCTATAATAGATTTGGTACTTCATAATTTTTTGTTGACAAAGGTATCAAATGGCAATCCTTTTTTTTGTCTGGTACTGAGGAGCAAACCCAAGACTTAGCTAGTGCACACTAGGCAAGCACTATATCACTGATCTACACACCCAGCCAGCAAGGATTATTTTATCAACTTACAGGTGGAAAGACTGTAGCTGCTACAAGTAAAATACTTGGTTCTGCGTCTCTCTTTAAGCGGCAGAGGTGAGATGTGGAAGCCTTGACTTTATATATACGCCTCCCAGGCTACGGCCGCCTTCCCAGCTCACTTCCCGTTTGCTCCTACTAGCTCCACCCACTTAGGCCAGCGCCGTTCCCGTGACTAGTTTGACCCCTTGAAGGCCGCCGTAATGCGTCGCCTCCGTTGCCGTGGGAAACGACCTGGGACCTAGGAGGGAGCTAAGTCGTTTCCCGCCGGCGGGAGCTCTTTTTGAGACTGGGGCTCAGAGCTGGCGGCGCCCATTGCTACAGCACCATGACAGACCAGCTTTATCTGGAAAATATAGACGAGTTCGTTACGGACCAGAACAAGATCGTGAGGAGCTAGGACTGGGGAATGCGGGCGGGCGAGTGGGGTACTGGGCCGGGCCAGGGTATTGGGGGCCACGACCCCAGTGCTTGCGGCCTCGTGAGACTGGAGGAGGGGAGGCAGGTCACCACTAGTAGTACCTCGGGGCGGGCGAGGACTCGCTGGGAGGTCGTTCTGTGCGCGTGTTAAATCCGCGTGCATTGGCTGGGCATGTTGGGAACTCTGCACCCAGCCGGGGCCTTGGAGCTCAGCGCTGTGGGAGGGGCATTAGTTAAGAGTATTTGTAAGGCGGCCCAGCAGCCAACATCTATCTTTTATTAGGTGGTTGGGTTCTAAAGTTCCAAATTTACAGTTGAGGAAATTGTGTCTTATCCAGGTTAAGTGACAAGTTGTTTAACCTCCAAGCAGTCAGCTTCCTCTTCCTGAAAATTTAAATAGAGGCCGATCGTACCTCTCGGAGTTGGTATAAAAATCACGTGAGGCTGAGTAGGTGAACGCGTTTTGCAAAACTGATGACTGACTGCCTACTGTAAGCCGAGACACTTTGGATGTACACTGTATTTAGTCTTTACTATGACCCGACTCTCTCACCTTCCAGCTCGGTGGTAGTATCCCGGAAGAGGAAGTTGAAGCAGAGGAGCCAAATAACTTGTTTATTTAAAGTTAGGAAGGGATATGTAGTTCTCGACTTGTACCTGTCTCTTCCATTAACATTATACTGTCTTTGTCTAACCTTTAACATTAACCTGTCTTAGTGTTAGACTGTTGGAAAGTTAGCATTGGGAATTGGAAGAGACTTAGAGAACAGACATACTGGGTCAAGGAAGCATGAAAGCTTGATAGTAGTAGTTCCCAATCTAATCCCTGATAAAACATTCATCCACTTGGTTCATTTTCCGATCTCTGCACCACTTGTGACCTTTAACATTGGTATGGCTGCAACTTTTCTTAGAAATTTCAGAGTCACATACTTAAATGTGATCTAGTTTTTGGTTTTAGGTTAGTTTTGAGTTGTGGTCCCTTCAAAGATAGTGTGTGGAAAGGTATAAATAAAAGGAGTGTGAAGAAAATGAGTTTTTGTTTATATTCAGCCTGCATTTTTAGATACTTTTGCATTAGTCAGTCCATGAAACAAACTTCTAGGTATTTGTAAGAGAAAGATCTTGGTTCTACCTGCCCAGAGAGAAGTGGTTCGAAATTGCAGTTACATCTATTGTGATTTATAAAGCATAATCAGTACCTATCCTCTAACAATAGGAATCTTTAAGAGTGGGTCTTGGTACTGACCTACAGTCATTTAATAAAACAATTTTAAAAATGCTTCTTCTTGCAGGTGACATACAAATGGCTGAGCTATACACTAGGGGTTCATGTTAACCAGGCCAAACAGTAAGTCCAGTTTCCTTCCAATTTAATGACATGGAAATGTTTTGTTTTATTTTGCTTTGTTTTAAACTACTGTATACATAGCCACTACATTAGAAATGATTTTTACCCCCGTGGGTAAATGGGAGAGAATACTATTTTTACTACCTTTGTGTCTTTTTAGATTAGTAGCCCTGTATACAAATATGTGCTGACAAATTTACTGGATATATTTGCAGCCTTGACTTCTGGTTAACATCACTTTGTCATTTCCAAATGTATTAAATGGGCTAGCAAATTCTTTTTATAGCTCAGATTTATATGTCCTGTTATCTTACATCTTCACTACATTTTCAGATGTGCTTCTTGGAGCTATCTTTGTGTGTTAGTAAAATACTTCCAGAATGAAGTCACCAGGTGTTTGACACAAGCTGTAAGACAGGAGAACTATTGAAGTGAAACTAAAAAAAGACTGTTTAGGATGGTGAAGAACACTGCCCATGAATTTTGCAAATATCCCTTTTCCTTTCTGAAAATGGTGGTCAAACTTGAAGCCAAGAGGGAAAAGGCTTTTGAATTAACCTTACATTTTTTTGACCTGTAAAGGTGCAAATGTTGCTTATGTCACAAGGAAGGAATTGGTGAACCAGTTGAGTGCGCATACATTGGGTTAAATCCACACTTAGTTTCCTAAGTGTGGTCTGATTTTTGTCTGTTCCTTGAGAAGAAAGAAGTTAGAGTCATAACATTCCATTGAATGTTAGAAAGTCTCTGATCTCTAGAAGATGGCTTTATTTGGGTTAATGTTGGACAAATCTAGGAGACCATTTTCTTTCTTTTCTTTTCTTTTCTTTCTTTCTTTCTTTCTTTCTTTTCTTTCTTTTCTTTCTTTTCTTTCTTTCTTTTTCTTTTCTTTTCTTTTCTTTCTTCCAGGCATTGAACTCAGGACCTTGTGCTTGCTAGGCTGGCACTGTGCTGCTGAGCTATATCCCTAGCTAGGAGACTATCTTTGGCTGTGATGTTTAAGCTTTCAAGACTTGAAACCGTTATCATGGGGATGGATTTGGTAGTCTGGGGATATATTTGGTTTTGACTGAGTTTGCCTAAGACCAGTCCTGGCCCAGACCTAAGTTTCGATAACTTTGGGAACAGATATCTATGAAAGTTATTGTTCATTGTGGATATGGATATTTAAATATGAAGTGAAGCAATTCCTTTTGGAGTTTAGAAATACATATTAAGGCCTGGGGTTCCCTAAAAATGCCTGTACTTTTATTATATCTAACTTGGTTATATAAAATTTTTATGACATTAACATGCTGTCTAGTTCTTGCCTTATCCCATACTGTACTCCACTTCATTTATTATACTCTACATATTTGTCTGTTATTCAAATACAAACTTATTCTCACCCTGGGATCTTTGTGCTATTTTCTCTGCCTGGACTGCTGCTTCTAGGTTTCCTCATCTTTCAGGTTTTAGCTCAAATTTCACGTGTTGTAATAAGCCTTCCCTAATTAATGCTCTATGTAAACATCACCATCCCTCCCTAAGTCTATCATAGCATTGTTAATTTCTTTCATAATTTTAAAAAAACAAATTTATTGAGATAGAATCTGCATATAGTTCACCCATTGTAAAGTGTACAGTTTAATGGTTGTTAGTATATTCAGAGTTGTACAACTATTACTACAATCAGTTTTGCAATATTTTTGTCACCCCACAAAGAAATCATGCCTATTAACAGTCACTCACCTTTTCCCCAACCTCTAGCCTTCATCCATCACACCCCGAGCCCTAGATAACCACTAGTCTTTCTGTCTGTAGATTCATCCTTTCTGGACATTTCATATAAGCGGAATCATATAGTCTTGCATGTCTGTTTTCTTTCACTTACTATAGTATTATCAAGGTTTATCCTGGTGGCAGCATGCTTTAGTAGTTAATTCCTTTTTATGTCTAAATAATATCCCATTATATGGTGTATTAACTTACTATTTCTGTGGCTGCCATAAATATAAACAGGGTGATTTAGAGTTTTGGGGCCTAGAACGCCAAATTCGAGGGGTCGACAGGTCCATGCTTCCTCTAAAACCTATGGGAACAAGTCTTTCCTTACCTTCATTTATTTTCTGGTATTTTGCTGACATTCTTTATTTAGCATTTCTTACCTTGTAGCTGTGAAACACCAGTCTCTGCCTTTGTTGTCACATAGTATTTTCCTTGTGTATCTATATTTTCAGATAGCTATTTTCTTGCAAAGTCTCCATTCATACCAGATTCAGAGCCCACCTTACTACTACAGTATGACCTTGTCTTAACTAATTAAATCTGCAATAAACCTATTTTCTAATAAGGTCACATCTTAAGGTACTGGTGAGTGTTTCAACATATCTTTTTTCAGTCATAATTCAACATACCTTTTTTCACACACAATTCAGCCCATTACACGGATATACCAGATTTTATCTCTTCATCGTTTGTATTGTTTTTGACTATTATGAATGATGCTATGAACATTTGTGTATAGGTGTTTGTATGAACGTATGTTTTTATTTCTCTTGTATATAATATCTAGGATTGGACTTGCTGGTTTATATGATAACTCTTGTGTTATCACATTTTGAGGGACTGATAGACTAGTTTTCAGAATGATAGCATCATCTTAATAATCTCATCAACATGTAAGGACTCCAATTTCTCCACATTCTTGCCAACACTTTTTATTACATCTTTATTTTAGCCTTCAGAGTAGATGTGAAAGATTTTGATGTGGTTTTGATTTTGATTTGCATTTCCCTATAAAATATTAAACATCTTTTCATGTTTTATTGACCATTTTATATCTTTGGGGAAATAGTTATCAAAACATTGTCCTTTTTTTTTTTTTTATTGGACTGTCTTTACTGTTGAGTTTTTTTTGTTTGTTTGTTTTTTTGTTTTTTTTTTTTTTTTTGGTTTTTCTCTGGTACTGGGAACCGAACTCACGACCTTGCGCTTGCCAGGCAGGCGCTTTTGCCACTGAGCTAAATCCCCAGCCCCTATTGTTGAGTTTTAAGAGATCTTTGTATATTCTGGATAAAAGACCCTGATCAGATAAATTTGTAAAAGCTTTCTCCCATTTTTTGTACTTTCTTTGTACTTTACTTTCCTTGTACTCTTTGTACTTTATTTTCTTTCTTTCCTCCTTCTTTCTTCCTTCTTTCTTCTGTCCTTCTTCCTTCCTCTTCCTCCTCCTTCCTTTTTGAGACAGGGTTTAACTATGCGTTCATACTGGCCTTGAACTCACTATGTAACGTAGACTGGCCTCAAACTTGCAGTGATCCTCCTGCCTCAGCCTCCCAAATGCTGGGATTACAGATGTGCACCACCATGCCCAGCCTCTTTCTCCCCTCACCCTTTTTTTTTCAGTATTGAGGGTTGAACCCAATACTTAGTTATATCCTCAGCCACCTTTTTTATATTTTTATTTTGAGATAGGTCTCACTAATTTTCACAGGCTGTACTTGAACTTGTGATCCTTCTGCCTCAGCCTCCTAAACTATTGGGGTTACAGGTATGTGCCACCATACCCAACTGTATTTACACTTTCTTGTCTATTTTTTCCTCCTTAAAATAATTTTTTAAAATTCTTTGTCAGGCAGCTCATTGTTCCTTTTTCAATGTGTTCTTTGAAGCACAGACATTTTTATTGTTGAAGAAGTTGTTGCTTGTGCTTTTTTTTTCATTTGTTTTTTGAGACAGGGTCTCACTGTATATTCTAGAGTGGCCTTGAATTCACTGTGTAGCCCAGGCTGGCCTCAAACTCATAGCACCCCTTCTGCCTCAACCTTCCAAGTGCTAGGATTACAGGCAGACACCACCATGCCCAGCTGTTTCTTGTGTTTTTTATGTAGTATCTAAGAAGGCTTTGCCCAACAAACTCAAAGTCATGAAGATTTATTCCTATTTTCTTCTAAGAGTTATACAGTTCTTTTTTCTTACATTTAATTGTTTGATCTGTTTGGAGTTAATTTTATAAGTCATTGCTAATTATCACTATATTTAAGTTTTCTATAGATCATGTCCTTGTTAAACTAAAAAAATGTGTCATTCCTTACAATAAGAATACACAAGCTGGGAATGGTGGTGCATGCAGTTAAACTCAGCACTTGGGAGGCTAAGGCAGGAAGATTGTAAGTTCAAGACCAGCTGGACTATGTAGCAAGATCATGTCTCAAGATACCAAGAGGGGAAGAAAGAAAACACTAAAACTTTAGGGTTAGATTTTTTTTTTTGGTACTGGGAATCAAACTCAGGATCTTGCACTTGCCAGGCAGGCGCTGTGCCATTGAGCTATCTCTCTGTCCCCTCAGATTAGATTTTTAAAATTTTTTTTTTATTTTAAAGAGAACAACGAAAAAAACCCAGTAACAATGATACAGAATTTCAAAACAAAATGATAGGAAATTAACAATGGTTATTATATTGCATATGGTTGTCTTCAAAGTAGTTGATCAGATTATCAGATGTGGGCATGTAAGATTGATCAAACAATGTAAGCACTAACTGTTCCTTTCAGTGAACTAATAGAAATTAATAGTGCCATTAGATTAGATCTTTAAATTTTTTTATGGTTTGTTTTTTTTCCGGTACCAGGAATTGAACTCACGACTTTGTGCTTGCCAGGCAGGTGCTGTGCTGCTGAGCTAAATCCCCAGCCCCTAAATTAGATCTTTAAATGAAGCACTGAAGTATGTAAATACTATGTGTTCTGCGAATTGTTTGGAATTTTTGTACATGGGGTAAAAGAAAGGGTCCACCTTCATTCTTGTACATGTCACCTTTTCATTGCTGTGGCCAAAATACCTGACATACACAACTTGAAGGAGAAAAGGTTTATTCTGGTTCATCAGAGGTATCAGTCTGTGGTTGGCTAGCTCCAAGGTAGAAATAGCATGGTGGAGGAAAGCTGCTCCCCTCATGGCAGCCAGTAAGCAGAGGGAGAAAGGAAGAGCTACTGAGAGAGAAAGGGGTTGGGGACA